CGGTGCGAGTCGCGCGGGCCCGCGCGGATTTGCGCACGCTTGCGCCCGCCGACCAAAACAAACACGCGCGCGGGTTCTCCCTCTTCCCCGTGCACTCTTTGCGCCGAAAGCCCAAGTGCGAGTGCTTGCTTGGACTGACTTCCAACTACAAAACGACGACGTGCGCTGAGAGAAGAAGAACCGCGGACGAAAAATACGGCGGAAGCGCTCGAGGGGCCATAAAAAAAAAAGACATGCGCAATTGGAAACCATCATCCTGTTTGCAAATATTTCACCAGTTGCTTTGTGTGGGAAACGGTCAATATTTCCACAGCGCCCTTGAAAACGATTCGACGCGGACGATATTTGACGAGGTGATTTCAACTCAGACGTCGGGATGAGAAATGAGCGCAAAGGGCCGCGCTTGCGATGTTGGTCGTGGTGTTGGGCTTGTTGCCGGCGGCTGTCCGGTGAAAGCCAAAGTAAAGTAACACACACACACACACACTCAAAAAAAAGGAGCGTCAAAAGAGGCCTCAGCGGGACTTTGGCTAACGAGCGAGAAGAAGAACACAAAAGCAAGAAGAAAAATGGGCCGCGGCGTAGCGAACTCGCAGGAAGGCGACGAGCTCAAGCGCTGAGCGAAAGCAGCTCCGGCTTCTCAGGTAAAGCAAACGCCAACGCTCCATTCTTTTTTTTCCTCCATTTTTTCCCTCTCTCTCTCTCTCTCTCTCTCTCTCTTTCCATTGATGACATCCTTCTTACTGTACATCCCAAAAGTCAGTGTGTGTGTGTGTGTGTGTGTGTGAGGGAAAATGGCTGTCATCAGGCGTCTTGTAATGGTTGAAAATAAAAGAAAGAAGGTGTGCGCGCACGCGAGGCAGAATCGTCCATCCGGAGCGTGCCTGAAAAGACAAAAAAAAAAAAAAAAACCCCCCCCAAAAAACAAAAGGACGCAATGGTTTCGCCGAGAGCGTCCTCGATCATCAGGAGGCGTTCGGCGTCTTTGAAAATGTTTTGATAGCATCGATGTTAAAAAACAAGAAGGATGGCGTCAATCAAGCGAGCCGATTTGGTTTCTGATGAGACGCGCGTGACTCGCGCAAGGCCCGCAGCCCAAAACATCGCGTCGGAAGACAAATCATGTCGGTGAGCGGGCCACAAACTGGTTGCCTGATAAGGCTTGACACAAATGAAGTGCCCTCGGAAAAAAAAACAAGAAGACTGGAAGAACAATAAAACAACAACAACAACAACACGTCAATCAACGTCAGCGCAGGAGTCCTCATTTGCACGCTGAATGAACCTAAAACCCAACAATGAGGAGGGAAAAAAATGCTCCAATTTGGGATTGATTGCAGAAAGGTCACGATTTGAACGATTTTGTGAAAGGGGCATAAAAAAAAAAAATAAAAGAATGAAAAAAATTATTTTCACTCCTACTTGCAAACCGGAATTTTTGCAACCAATCAGGAATTTTGCAATCCATTTTCACCCCCCCCCCCCCACACACACACAAAAACCAGCATTCACTTCAGCTGCCGAAACATGAGCGAAGTCGGACTCATTTTACGTGTAGACAAATGAGCGTTACTTTCGTCATGATCATTTCAATGCGAGCCGTGTTAGAGGATGCGACCACGTTTTGCCACAAATGTGAAAATGGCACCGAAAAAGAATTTCAAGGGCGTCAGCACGGAGATGTGTGCACCGTTTGGGGCGCGTAAGTGGCGGACATGTGTCTGCTTATGTATTATTTTTTTTTCTGCTTTATTTTATATTTATTTATATATATATATATATATATATATATATATATATACGAACTTTCGTGTTGCGAACAACGGTACATACGAACATTTTTGTTTGGTGGGCGGGGTCATTTTTTTTTTTTGGTCTCAATTTCTTGAAAGATAAAATCCTTTTCGTTGAAACGTGCTTGATTTCGTTCACCTTGGAATGATCTTTATTCACCTTTTTTTTTTTTTTTTTTTTTTGAAACCACTTGAATGTGTGTCCGTTGTGCGTTCGGTCACGCGAAAGTGTTTGTTGTTGTCTGTGTGTGTTTGCGTGTGAGTGTGCGCGTGTGCGGCCTCCCCGGCCCCAACAAACCACGCGGCAGGCGTTACACAAGCACGCGCGCGCGCACACGCCCGCTCGGGCGTCAAGCCGTGGCCTCTCTCAGGACGCCATCTAGTGGCAGGAGATGTGATAACCTCTGGTCCATGTCGTTGGAATACACGCACACACACACACGCACACACGCACACACACACACACACACACACACACACACACACGCGCGCACACACACACACTCACGCACTACCTTGCATTGATAGTATTTGTGAAACTTGATCATAAATAAATCACCAAAGTGAAATCAGCGATGACAAAGTGTGAGAAAGCCGAAGCGTCGACTTTGGCTTCCTTGAGTCATTTCCACCCTTATTTTTTTGAACTCTCTCATAAATTGTGGTGAATCCTGAACACATGTTCACTTTTTTTGTCCTGTGTACCAATCAGCTCATTTTTTTATATTTTATTTTCCTTTTATGGCAAGGGGGAAAAAAATGTGGGTGGTATGGCAAAAAGCATTCCATATCATCATCCTTTGGGGACGACTGCTCATTCGTCGACGTGCGCCACTGGCGAATGATGTCTCTTCTGCTGGTACGCCATCGTCATTTTACGAGTGGACGTCAACGTCTTACAGAAATGGGAGAGAAGAGCGCCCCACAAAAAAAAAAAAAAAAAAAAAGATAAAAAGACGACACAGCGGTTCTACTCGTGCACTCGACCTCAACGTCTCATTCGAGGGGTCCAAACGTGTACAAGGTCGTCATCGCCCGAAACTGACGATGCCAGAAAGAAGTCAAGATTTGACCACACGTACGCGCAGATTGTTTCATTCCTTTATTATTCGGATGCTCATCCGCAGGACATCAGGACGTCTTGGTGCAGGCCGAGCGCAACTGTTAGCGCCTTGCTAATCTGTTACTTTGTCCTCTCGCTGAAAAACGAGTTGAAGAAAATGTGACCGGTCGAGAGCGCCAATCGAACCTTTCATCCTCCGTCCCACAAAATGTTTGTCATCCGCGCGCGTCAGCTTTCTCGGCGTTTCGACCGTTGCTTGCCGTCTGAGCGCGAAGGCGCCGTCGCGTCGCGCGTGACTTGCGCTTTTCCGGGAACGACTCGGAAACGTTTGCGTTTGCGTCGGTGCCAACAAAAGACGAAGCCGAAATGCGGCGTTCGCGTCAGAGACGGACGGTGCGAGTGCACAGCTGTCAGATAAGAAAGAGTGGGTGTGTGTCAACGTTAGCATCACCGACACGGACAACCGAGCCGCTAACGGCTTGCTTTGCTTCTGTCGAAATAAAGTCACACGAAGAAACCAAAATGTCGGCAAGAGGCAAAAGGCCCAGGAGGAAAGTTTCCGGGGCGCCGGCGCGGCTCGGCCCGACGCTCGCCGCCGGTTTGCGGCCGCTCGACGCGTTTTTGGGCGGGAG